CATCACAAAACGCAGTAAGAAAATCCCATTTCTCAGCCGTAAATCTGATAGAGTTGAGCATCGATACTAATGCACAATTGTTACACTGTCATACAACGTTCAAGGCTTAGGTGTTATTTGTCATACAAAGAAGAGAATGCTTTCATCGCATCATGCTTTCATCGCATCATGATTGGAGCTGCATTATCGCGCTGCCACAGCCCACAAAGCCGTCATCCTTGTCCTTGAAAATGGTGGAAAGCAGAACTGGAAGGAGTTTTCATTTGTTGGGAGGAGGTGCCAAGCAATAATGATGAAAGAGAGTGAAGAAAATGGATCAGAAGATTTAGAAGAGATTTTCTTTTTTATTTTGATGATAGAAAGATTTGTAGATGAGGGAGATGGGAAAGTGGGGAATTTATAGCTGGATGAAAGCTTGCTTCTGTTATGAGATGAAGGAGGTGAATAGAGTGTCAAATTGAAAGATGGGGGAGGTGAAAGAATTAGTCTTATACTAAAGTTTAATTACTCTCATATAATAAGTACATGGTAACATTTTAGAAACGAATGAGATATATTTGGAATATGAATTAGTTTATATTAACATGTAGATGTTATTGTACTAATACTATAATGACGAAGCGAATTCCTTGTTCATGTAGATCCTGATGGCCATTAATAATGAATTTATAGCATTTGTATAGGATATTATAGTGGCTGAAGTGAATGAGAATCTGAATGCATTTTGAGGGCAAAATGATAATTTTAAATGCAATATGGAGGGAATTAATATTCATTGTCATGCACTTAATCTAAGAAATATTCAAGCTTCTTCATATAGTATAATCTCTAGAACACAATCAATTGAATATATATTTGTTAGCATTCATAATAATAATTTATATGTTATACTCTATAAACATATAAACATATTTATTTTCCATTTCATCTTATAATTTTTAAATACAATCTATATATTTATTATATTGTTTTTATACGGTTTGAAGGTATATTTAAACTATCTTCTTATTTCGTAGAATTAAATTATACAGTTTGAATAAAATATATTACATAATTTGTACATAGTCTAACATTAAGTTCTACAAAATGTGCACGCATATGATATGTGATACTGTTTGATCCCATGTAAAATTTACACCATGAAACTTGTTCCAATATATTTTCTTTGTCCAATAAATTTGAAATTTTCATTTTTGAAAAGATTCCACATGAATTTATTAGTCAATTGAATCTCAATCAAGATGCTCAAAATGTACATATGAACTCAAGTTTAATTGTTTGGCTAGAGCCACCATTGGGATTGTGATTGGCCAAATACACCATTGGAATTGCATGACCCAAAAGAATGAAGGTGACAAAGAAGAAAACATGGAGACCAGTAGAAATCATCTAAGGATCTGATTTTAGATGGTTCGAGTCTATGGGTTTTTGGAAGCAGGTACAATCTCTCAAGAGTACCAAGCTTGCATAAGAGTGAAGTAGAAGGGACAAATGCGCTAATAGAAAATTGCTTCATAATGGAGAGATTTCATTTTATCTTTAGTTCTCTGTACTTGCAATGTAAAGCAACTTCGTAGACAAATACACGGTTATAGAATAGTTCTTAATACATAGGCACCATCGATATAAGTTCTATGCAGGCATTCTATTAAAGAACAAATCAAAAACATGGATTACTCGGCCGATTACCCGGCTGAGTACTCGTGTGCAGATACAAAACAAAGCAAACATGTGAAAATCACTACACTATGCGGTCAATGTCTTCCTTATGCAAAAAATTACCCATTTTTGAATTTTTTTAATGCTTAGGACAGATGTCTCATATTCCCTATGTGAATGCCTTTTCCTTATGCACTAATCCAAATGATTTCTAACTTTTTTAATTGAGTAAAACAACCGTCTAACTCTCTTTATTTTTATCGTTGGTAACTATTAGAGGATCCCACAATCCACTATTAAACTATTAAGCCATCAATGGCCATGTCACACACATTTATCAGAGATCATCCTTGACCAAAAGTAACCAAAAAATAAACTATCAAGCTCTTATCTATACTCCAAAGAAAGGAAAAAAAACCTCTTATCTACTAGTGCTATCATATTACCTTTAAAGTTGTGTCCTCCTTTCACATATTTATTTCATTAACATTCATAGTTGTTGATGCAGGTGAAGACCTTTTTGTGCTTAAAGTTGTTATACTATTTGTTTAATAGCTTAAGTGGGTATTTAAACTACTTATATCATTGCTCAATTGCACGTTTATTAGTCTTTTTCTTGGTTTATTTTCTGTTTTACATGATTTTTATATGCTTTAATCTGATTCATCGGCGCATAATCCGATTAAATGCTACTCGCTCTCAGACTGCACGCATAACAAAACCGTGCTTTAGAACCTTGATGATGATGATAGAAGTGCTTCCTCATGGAAAGATTCCAATTGACATAATAGATGCTTTCGTTATTTGCACATGTTATGAAAAATAACTCCAGTCAAATACATCGTAGATAGAAAATTGTCCCAAGAAGTAGCACACATTTATTTAAGAAAAATACAAGAAGATGGATGACTTTATATAGTATAATAGTAGAGAAGCAAATGCTATAGTGTTTCTACTAGCTTGGAGATATGAACTGTTTATAATATTCTAATAATAGAGAAGGAGGTTATGATGGTGGAAAGTTAAAGAGCGTTGGAGGATATAATTGGATGTTATAAAATGGAGATAGCGGTGCAAGTAAAGGTTAATGAGGAATGGTTATGAGAAAGTGAAGGCTACGAGGTTAAAAAGATATAATTTGAATGAGAATTAGATATAAATATATAATCATCATAACATATACGTAAGTTATAAGTACAAATGTTATCATAAAGATTCATTAATAGATCATGTATATAGACTCTTGTATGTATGTGTTTTACCGTCCAGAAGCAAAATTACATTGATACCCATAAGATTACAAAAAACACTTTCACATTCCATGCATGCAAATTGAAGGGTATTTTTTTTGGGGGGGTGAGTCTTTAACACCCATACACACACGCACGATCGCACACAACACGCACACACAGAGTTACGTACGTACATACATACATAATTACATATATATATGTATATAAGTAGTTCATGTGTATTAAATCACATCCAGTGGCATAGGATTAATTGAAATTTTGTCTCTAGGTAGTTCATGTGTAATACATCACATTGAATGGTGTGGATTTTTAATTTGGGGATCTAAATTTTAGATTCAGATTGATAGTATCCACATACTATTAATGTAGCCCAACTCAACAGTAGTTTGCCTGTGTCTGTATTCAATATGATATACAGTTCTGCTTCCATTTCTATGTTTAACGTATAAATATTTATGTGGATTAGTATAAGCGTATGACCATATTAAGGTACTCAGCATACAGCAATTTACCATCTAACTCGACTGTTAGGCACTTGTAACTTGGATTTGGCTTGATGATTTAATGATACATTGAACACGTTCAAATGCATGAGCCATGACTGTCATTATAAAGCAACATAAGTAGTATTAGATGTTGTTTAATCATTTTAAGATTTAGGATATGCAGGAGCCTCCATTAAGTCTATGAATTCTAAATAATAAATATTATCATGATTTTGTTTATTGATCTAGAAAAAAGGAACTTTCAATCAAAGTGCTCATCATAAATGGATCACTTTATTGTTGTACAAAGGTCTGATATGAAGTTTCCCTGACATGGAAGGTAACTGTGGAAAACATCATGCCCACTCACGCATACACACCCTTGACTGTACGCAAAAATGCATGCACATGCAAACACAAATTACTAGATGCCAGCTAGAAGACTACGCACTAATGTACAAGATAACATAAAAGTATAACTAGTAATGAATTTCTGAATATAACCTAGGTTATAAACTCCACCAACAAACCCTAAATTGCTCGGGTCAGCTAAATGAATCCACTTTCCCCATGCCGCTCTGTCAGTCATCCCCTAGCTAACATCCATCATGCTGTTCCCTTACTGCAACAACCCAGGTTCATTTTGTCTCTCATCGTCCTCCAAGTGCCATCAACTACTACCCATTTACATGTCCATAAAATTGATGCCCTCTGCACATGTAGTAACATCTTTTGCAATGTCTTCAATAAATCGACCTCTCAGATAATGCTACCTCCTCACAAATGCATCTAGTTATTATCCTATTAAATTGTCTGCTAGCCATCTGAACATTATCACTTTGGCCGCATTTCTATGTTATAAAAGAATATGACAAAGAGTTAAATGAAGAAACAAATGACACCATTTGAATTTCACAGCACGAACATTTACATTAGTGCCTTAGAATTATACGCAGAGAATAAACAAATTGAGTGATATGAAAATTGTCAATCACCTTCAAGCAGTACACAGCGAGGCGTCGTCTTGTCTCAGGACTTCCATTTTGAAGATCAGATATTATGGAATGGTGTACGTCCTCTTTCTGGTATCCAAAAACAAGCATCAGCAACAAATCCCATAGCCATGAAATACAGATGGATAAAATCAGATGGAAAAGGATGGGGATAACTTAAACACATCCAAGGAGCAAAAACACAATAGTGCGGATGGTACATTATTAAAATATAAAAATAAAAATAACACTATCTAAAATCTGTGTTATTCCAATTTAATGCCAATACATACTTATTGTGCTTACTTTTCGTCATTGAATCTACTCTTTCTTTCTAATTTCCACAATAAATCTGAAATAGTGCAGACGTTTTGAGCTCTTCAGATTACTGCTTTACACTCGTCAAAAATCTATAACACTATCTAAGAGATCCACGCTTTTTATATCAACAGTTTTATGTTCACTGAATACTTTGATTATGGGCATCCATTGCTTTTGCCGATGTACTTAAACCTTCACCATATGCAAGCCTACTGGTCCAACATATTGATATTTAAGCAGAACGTTTATTTTTTCATGGTTCATAAAACCAGGGGAAGTATTTTTCACCATCACCCTCAGGTAACTCCAACTCCTTACAAAACTATACCAATATTAATTTATTGGATAAAAAATGCCCAAATTTCCTCATCCAATCTGTTGGCTAATTTGTATCAGAATATAGTAATACACCTCAATCTTAATATCACCTAGTTTATCTATAAGCACAATGCAGAAATACATAATATACAGCTTGCAAATGTGGGAATTCTACAGAAAGAAAGAAAAGGATAAGTGCCGCTCACTGAATTAGACCCATTCCCACTTTTAAATAGTGCAAAATAACACTGGATATCCTCATGCTTAAGAAAGCTTATTTCCCTAAATATCAATTGCAGACTAAAACAGAATAGTGTATACAGCAAAAATACATGCAGTTTATAATGATTGGAGGATACCAATGCTCCTAGAATGGAATAGAAAGAAAAAGGAAAAATATGTACAAAAAGATATCAATCTGTTTTAAGGGGAAAAAACTGAACGCAAACTTCCAGGAAGCACCATTACATCTAAGTTCTACCAAGCCATACAAAGAAACTCATGGTGAGCCCTCACAGAGATATGAAACAGCTTGTAGAGAGGCTGATGTTAAGTGGAAATAACTAGAGACATTCGCAGAATTTAACAGGGACTAGTTTAATGATGATTATGAACAAGCAACAAAGGCTTATAGCAACTTTCGCTGATTTAAAAACCTACTGTGAACATTGGGCTGTCGATTTTTTGTTTATTCACATAAATAACTACCAGAGACTTGAATGTGTTTTTTCCCTAGAAAACATGATTTTTTTCAGAAACCTGTCATGTTACATGAAGAAAATAAACTCATGGTGATCCTAAGAACATCCAAAACTTCACGGTGGTTTGTTGAACCATGGATTTTTTTTTTTACCACATGAAGTGAGAAGTTTGGCCCAAACATGCACCTAGTCAGATTGTTAGTCATATAGATACTTGCAGAATTTAACTAGAGACATTTGCAGAATTTAACAGGGACTAGACTAATGATAAATCTGCACAAGCAACAGAGGCTTATAGCAATTTTCTGAGTTAAAAATCTATTGTGAACCTTGGGCTGGTTTAAATAAATACCATGATTTTTTAGTTTATTCACATAAAAACTACCAGAGACTTGAATATTTTCCTTAGAAAACAACATTGATTTTTCAGAAACCTGTCACGTTATGTGAACAAAAAAACTCATAGTGATCTTAAGAACAACCAAAACTTCATGGTGGCTTGTTCAACTATGCCTTTATTTTTTTTAACCACAGGAAGTGAGAAATTCGACCCAAACATGCACCTAGGCATATTCTTAGCATAAAGGCATTTACAGAATTTAACTTGAGACATTTACAGAACTTGACAGGGACTAGACTGATAATTCCGCAAAACCAATAAGGGCTTATTGCAATTTTTGCTGAATTAAAAATCAACCATGAACCTTGTGCTGGTTTAAAGAACTACGATGATTTTTTGTTTATTAACATAAAAACTACCAGAGACTTGAATTTTTTTTTCAGAAAACAACATTGATTTTTCAGAAACCTGTCAAGTTATGTGAACAAAAAAACTAATGGTGATCTTAAGAACAACCAAAACTTTATGGTGGTTTGTTGAACTATGGCTTTATTTTTTCACCATACGAAGTGAGAAGTTCGGCCCAGACAAGCTCTAGTCAGATTGTTAGTCATATAAACAGCCAATCATGAAAGTCCATCAATTCATCCCTAAAGCCTTCTCAGTTTTGATGTTCAACTCTGTAGCTGATCCCTAAGGCAACAAGATGATGAAGGTGATGAATGATTTGAAACAAAAAAAAATTAGGAAACTTGTTTGAAATATGTACACCGGAATTCCTAATTCTTGCAAATGAAAGTACCAACAGAACACCCTTTTTAATTTGTCATTGAGATATGGACATACAATTGCAAATCAAATAGGAAAAATTGTTACCTGACCTGAATTGCAAAGAGGAAAAACTGCAGAAAGATCATGATTCAGATCTCCAATAATCCAAAACAATGAAGGATTATAAACACAAACGTTCACTGATAACCGGTTTTTCCCCCTTATTTTATGGAAACTCAGTATTAAGCATCACGGCAACAGAGAAAAAGATAGTATGGTGATTGTTGACTGACAGAAAGTAATTCAAGCATCAAAAAGAAGATAACATATTTCATAGTTGATTATGTGATAGATTACAATTAAAAACACATACTTAGTAACAAAAGAAACTTACTTGCTCTGAGAGGAAGTGTGCAGAGACAGAATTCAAAGAATATGAACTAAGCTTGTAATCCCTTTGCATAGCCTGTGCAAATGCGGTACAAATAAGTACAGGCAAATACTGGCATTGTGCCTAGATATGCAGGACATATTGGATCATGACCTGAAGCAGATCAAATTGGACCCTTCCCTCGATTGTCACTTCTTTGCTTTCCCGCACTCCATACTGCCTACATGGAGGTGTCAAAAATAAATTTACCTCAAAAGACCGGCATGTCCAATGTTCAGTACGCCAAATTTCTCCCATCTTAAGAAGGAATTTAAAAGAAAGATAGAAAATAATGGATCTCCAAAAGGAATTCACTCAACTGCGGCACATAAGCCCAAAAGCAGAACAAAATGCATACACAAAGTAATAAATCAATTAAATTCATCAACTGTAAAGTTGTCAACCACGCAAATTTAGCATCTGATAAAGATAAAGAACGTCTCATAAATATTGGATTCGGGTCTCTAATAAATTTTCAATTTTGTTGAAATTTGTGAAACAAATGCTAACTCATGCTGACGATGGAATATGACATGCAAAAACACTGTACACTTACAGAGAAACAAAAGACAACAAAAAAAATGCATCGTACATCAACTTCTACGTAAATCGATCTGACATCTGAAATCAAAATGTCAGACAAAAAATAATCGATCAGGGTGGGCAGATAGGAGAAGAGGTGGCAGCAGTCAGTACAGGTAAGGAGGGCTATTTTTTATTTATTAAATTATTTTAATAAAGATATAACAGAATACTCCAAGTTTATTCCTTTACAGTCAGAATGGGGGTATAAATATTGAAGAAAGAATAAAATTGGGGGTCAAAGGAAAATTAAAAAATGCAATTTGGGGGTTGTGTATATAGAAAAACCATTAAATATAAATATACAATGATTTCAACAATACATCTGTCTCCTCCATATCACGTTAAAAGGTTCATTCTTCACATCTGGAAACAACACGACACAAAATAATAACATTAATAATAATAGTTCTGATATCTGGTATTAACACTACCTTGAGAGAACATAGAAAGAAACAGAGAAAGTGTATATACCATCAGAGACCTAAAGGCCTCTTATTCTGTGACCATAACAAAATGGGTGTGCTTAGAATTCAGTGACAGAAATCACCATTTTCCCTTAAAACTACAATATAGCTTCCAACAAGATGACAAAAGGATCAGATGAAAGAAAGATGTCTCTTTGGTAAACAGCAATGCATCATCAACTAAACAATACAAAAGGGCAAAACACCCTCTGTGTACGAAATAGAAGCATTACTATAGACCGCTTTGGTAGAAAATTACAAAACATGAAGATTGCAATGTGATTTTAAATTGATATTTTAACAAGAGGAGTCGGTTTCTAGTTATTGTTTCTGTGAGTAGATAGATAATACACAAGACAGAAACATATAGAGCATAAATATGGCAACCACTTCTCGTTGGACTCTTGATATGGAGACAATATGCCACGCAAAAGCTAACCTTGAGGAGAATGTTGTATCACGCATGCGAACCCGACTGTTTCTAACACGACCCAGGATAGGAAATTCCGCTATCTTGAGGGCTTCAGCTCTCTTCAAAATGAGACTCACAGTTAGCACAAATCAGTTAATTGCCAAGTGAAACTTTCAAATAAACAGGAAGGTAGAGCACCTCCATGAGATATGGAAGATCAAATTTGCAGATATTGTATCCAATAATAATATCCGGATCTACCTTTTGAATGAAATCCTGCAGGATTACATTCAGTCAGTGAAAATTGCCTCTGAAAATTTAAAGAAGTGATCTCTTAAGGATAGTCCAAGAAAGAAAGCAACACACAAAAGGACAAACAAAATAGTAAGAATACAAACTATATAATCACTGAAAATTGGTGCTCTAATGATTTCCTCTCTAATGATTTCCTCCGATCGAAGTCAGAGATGAAAGGAAACCATGTGTCATTTTTCAACAGATTCCCTGAACGCCAATGACCAAACTGCTACTGCACAAACAATTATGAGGCCTTTTCCTTGCCAGATAATATCAACTCTGCACTACAACTTCCTATAAGGTCAAATGGACAGATAATTCATGGTTTTGAAATTTTATCAATGTTCCATATGCTTCTACTAATCCTGCCAATGTTATTTGCATGCTACCCATTGAAAAATCTCAGAAAATAACGGAAAAATATTTCATTAAAACTAAAACATCTAAAACAAGCTTTCAAATATAGTGGCATGGCTGTATGAATGTAAAACGAACTCTTCATTGTTCTACAGTGTTAATAAAAGGAAATGACAAGGTTTGAAAAAGATATTTTGGTGTCATATTCAGGGAAAATCTCGTAAAAATTGGCAGAATTTGAACTAAAACTTTCGGTTCTGTAAGACACTGGCAATTGCAGAGATCTTCATTCTTTTTGCATTCCCCGCAAATATAGTATATATCTCTTTTATATCCAGCAAAAGGCCTTTATTTCTTAGAACCAAGCCAAACGTTACCTGTCCAGGGTTAAGTTATATGACTTACATTGTTGACCACAACTCATCAGCTTAAGATATTGGGAAAAGGGGGACTGTCACATGAGAGTAAGAAGCATAATGTTAAAAAAATGAAGTTGCTACAGTCCAAGAAAAGCATTGACCAAAAATATGCATGAGTAAAGTGATAATGAGCCGCTAATCACTAGCGACATCTTCATGGATTTCTCAAATTCTTGGTGATCCAGCTCCATGCTCCACCATCTGGAATCTGGACTTAGTAAGCATAATGATCATACTATCTTTACCAAATCAAGTCAGCAAGATGTCAAGGTAAATTAACATTATGAATCTTACACTAAATCATGTAGTAAGGTCTTAGAATAATCTCAAGAATCACAATTAATCTTAAAAGTAACTACCCTTGATTTAATGTAACGAAAATAAATGGTGCATCTTCTAAGGAAAACAGACTATATACGAGCATAGCAGATTCTCCCTTGCAATATATTTAAAATGTACTTTGTCATCTCCAAATTATTGATATTAAACCATTCTTTCATGATGCACAACTCACTGGCATTTTCAGGGACATTACTAAAAGTATTGAAATATTCATCTTGTACAGACTCAGAGATATCCTTCTTCATCTAATCAATGGGCATAAATCAGAGCTGACATTATGAGTCTTTCACATAAATGATTTACTGTGTGTGGATGTGAAATAAAGGTCCCAGGGAAGTACTTGGAAAGAATTATTGCCCATCTAACAGCTTGCTTTCAAAAGAACTCTGTTAAGCTGAAGCTAAGGTGGTATAAGAACTTACCCTCCAAGCAAGCAAAACTTTTTTTTCTGTGTCAAATGACATCACATCAACGCCAACAATTGGAGAGCATGATTTAAGAGTCATCACATTGCGGATGAGAGGACAATCCTCTCCTTGTAGAGTGACTAAGTTGGCTATCTAGTTTGTTAAGAAATGAACATATGATAAGTTAGTGTAACATCTGAAACTTGAGGGGAAAAAGCCGCCAAATGACTGCAGTTCCCATATATTTTCAGTAAGTAAGAACCTGAATAACAGGATCATGAGTAGGCTCAGGGAAAAGTCCTTTACGACCAGCACACTCAATATCAAAACTTAATATGCGAAATGGAGCCATTTTAGAGTACTCTCCTTCTGGGACATGACTGACCAAGTCAGAATACCTGAGAATGGATTAAGGGAAAGAAATAACCAAGGACTAACATGCTTAAAAGAAACTTGAATCTCGTCCGTTTATTTTGTTGGAAAAGGATACAGACACTCTAGTTCAATTTGGCAATAGGACATACTCCTGGCTGTCTTCTTATACTTCCCTGCAGGGACTTCAATCCAATTACCACCAACAATGTTGCAATCAATCATGAAACGAAGTGCGAAAAGAATATTGCTTTCATATGTCATGAAACTCTTTAAACCAAGGCCTTCAATCTGTATGCCTCTTTCCAGAATGCCTGACAGAAAACCAGAGATTTAGAGTGAGAGTTCAACAGAAGCAAGTACCAGAAGCATTAGTGGAAAACATTGACAGCAAAATCACATTACTGCAGCGTGTTCCTTGTTTACATATAAACTTCAAGAGCGTTTTGAAAAATATATGGAGGAAATAGCTCATCATAACATGCAGCGCATATTAATATTTCTTTTTAGTTCAAATATATACTGCCCAGTAAAGAATTGAGTGGAAACACGAATTTATTTAGTGCAGCTGGGCTTCCATAAATTCAAGTTAGAACATAAAACTTTTTTAGTTAGACGCTTTATGAAAAATCTTAGCATATTCATGCACAGGACAAAGTTTGATAAACAGACACAACACTTCTAACTCACACCAAATCATTTGACATAGTTACACATATGGAACATCTCCCATTAAAATTCATTTCATGCTCAGTATCAAGCTTTTTCACACAGAATAGTGCTTCTAGTAAGATTCAGTAGTCTGTGAAAAAGGAAATGCAGGTATCAACTTATTACTGGCCAAAATACTCTTAAATGCTAAGTCATTCAATGTATGTGCCAAAACATTTCAAGATAACTAAAAAGATCTTAGTGATCGATGACTTAGAAGTATATTCTGCCAACTCCTTAAGAGTTTCGTTTTTTTTTTAATCATTGAAGATGACTTCTTTATTAAGTAACTAAAAGACTCACAGCATAAATCAGTAGCCTGCCACATGTTAAGTTCTTCACTTTGAGGGAGAATACTATCAGTATATAACATCACGATCAAATAGAATTTTCCATGAGAATTTAATTTTGGACAAATTTTCAAAATACCCCTTTAGAATTTATTTTCAAAAAACAACTCATTTGAAATTTATTTGCCATTTTCGACCCAATTTCAGCCACCTGGCTAAAACTGGGTCGAAAATGGCAAATAAAGTTCGAAAACTTCACGGGATTTAAAATCTCATGAAGTTTAAGGACTAATTTGGCTTTGCTAATTAGAACGTCATATCTTCACGAGATTTCAAATCTTGTGAAGTTGCAGGTGCTACTTCCAGAGAGCTTGCTCTCTGGCAAATGAGCCTGCAACTTCACGGGATTTTAAATCACGTGAAGTTGCAGTGAGCCCCACTCACCCAAGTCAGTATTTATCTTTGCCCTCTCACATGATCTCATTTCACGTTCTCTCTCTCGCCCTCTGTACTCTCCCTTTGTTCCTTTACCCCCAAACCCTAGATCATCTCCCGCCGCCGCTGCTACTATCACCGGCTATCTTTGCTCCTGTCGTCGTCGCCACCGCCAACCTTTTTTAGGCTGAAAAGCGCTAGAGTTCATCGGAGCTTGTTGGATATCAAATTTAGGGCATTGACAAAAACAACTGTCCAACTAGTCTTAGACGTTGATAATTTGGGGCTTGATTGTATGGAATATATCGTTTATGGTTTTTGTAATATATAATCTTTTATTGTTAATCTTGAATATGTGACTATCATTGTGCATGTTCTATTCTTATTTTTCTTTTCTATGCTCTGTATTCTTTACTTAATATTGAATATTGAATACATATGATTAAATCATTCAACTGGAAAATCTAACATATTGTATTTTAAATGCAAAGAGATCCATTATAGATACGGGTTCGATGTAGCCCGACATATTATACCTTCAGATAGATCATCGTTCTCACAAGATTGGCTTAGGACAGGTAAAAATATTATGTATATATTTCTTATTTTTAGCACTAGTTTCAATTTTTGTATTCTAAAAGACTTTCTCAATTTTGATTAATGTGCAGCCCATAGTAGAAATCAACATAGTGGATCATTCTCAGAATCACTCGGGCTGGGAGATTGAGGATAATCGTGTACTATAGTTAGTAGCTCAGGTCGGGTTTTGGGAGTGTTCATCAATGAGATATATTAGGCTTGACTGGGCCCTTATCGGTGCTCTGATTGAGAGGTGAAGACCGGAGATGAACACCTTTCATATGCATATAAGGGAGTGTATCATTACACTTCAGGATGTAGCCGTCATACTTGGGCTACGTATTAATGGCCCTATTATTACGAGGCACCGATGACCATAATTGGGTCGAAGTGTGTGAGAAGCTTCTTGGGCAGGTTCCTAATTTAAGGAGTGGTGCAATGAAGCTATTGTGGCTTTGATCGATGTTTATGACAAATATAACGGTTGATGCCACAAATGAGACGATCCAGTATTATACTCGTGCTTACATATTACACATGATAGAGTGTATGTTATTTCCTGATGTGAACAAAAATCTTATACATGCACGATGGCTGTCACTACTTAAGGATTTTGATGTATGCGGCATTCTATCATGAGGTAGTGCGGTCTTGGGGTATCTTTATGGAGAACTAGGTAGGGTCTCCTTGATGCAGAATAAAGAATTCAAGAGGTGCATGATATTACTACAGGTTCGGTCATGGGAACACATTCATATTTGACGATCTACTTTGCATATACACCGCGATCTATAGGGTTAGTTTCTTTTGGGATGCAAGTATAATTATGCGTGAATTTAAAATTATTTATCTCGTCTAAAATATAAATATCGAATTTGTTCTCATATATTCTTTATGTCAAATAGGTATATTATTAAGCACTCTAAACACAAAACCGCGACTAGACATATAGAGTTTTACAAAAATGAGCTTGATGGCCTCCACCAATAGATAAATATAAAACTCAATTCATTATTTATATTTTAATTTTTTTGTAGATACTGATAAAAAATTTTGAAATTTCAGTTCAAGTGGACGCCCTATTCTCCGCCAGATCTCGATATGTATACCCTTGCACCTATCTATAGAGATAGCACTGCTTTGTGGAGAGCCAGAGTCTCGTTGATATATTAGGAGATTGTAGAGATGCATGTCTCAGATCATGTGTTATGACAATTTCTTTTTTTTTTCAGCATGTGTCGAATCCTATTGAGCAAATCGATCGCAGGCGACGAATGGCATCGCATCATACGGATTGGGTCATATTCCGTGCGACCTACATAGACAGGTGGAATAATATGTAAAATTTCATACAGAATGAGAGAGTTCTAGCAGATGGTTATACCGTGTATATGCGTTGGTATTGAAATATCACGCGCAGATGGATAGGATGCGACCCACAACCAGCAGTTGGATGCGTACCATGCTCACCGTTAGATAATTACATCCCTAGTGCCATGATCGAGAGGGATTATGTAAATTTTTAGACTAAATTAAAATGATAATTCTTTTTTTGTGATAATATTATTTGCTAAATTGTGTATGTATTGATTAAATCGTAGATCCATGTTTTTGATGAGATTGAGGCTGATATAAATAAGCATATTAATGAGATTCAAGATCCAACAGTGTTAGGGATCTTCAATAGGATCAGTCAGATAATAGCAAATGTGTTCCATAAAAATCATGTCGACGAGTTTGAAGGACGTGAGAACAGGTCATGCCAATTTGGTAAAGTGCACAAGCGAAGACGTAAAATAGGTCAAAGGGTGGCGCGTGATGGAGCCGACACTTCTCCTAGTGCGGCGCGTGCTGATGGAACCGGGACTTCTCAACTTCACACGCAACCAGATACTCAAATCATCGAGGCACACCAGCATGGACAGAGAGGGTGGGGAAGGGGGGAAGAGTCAAGGGAAGGGGTAAGAAAGGGAGAGAAAGGAGGGGAGGATTTTTAGGATGTATGTAAAATTTACAGTATGATTATGAATTTTAAGAATATATATGGTTAGATTATTAAAATTTGTTGCTTGTGTGAATCGATTTTTGTTTATATATATGATTTTCGTATGTATTGTTTTGATTTATGGTTGAATTTTATGTATATTGTTGTAATTCAGTATATATGCGGTAATTTTGATGTTTATGGTTGGATTGCCATGTATATTGTTGTGAATGAGACGAAAATTTCATTGTATACAACAGGTTTTGGATTATGTGAAATTTACAGGCTCATTAGGTGGATGAAATTTACAGGCTCATTAGGTGGAACACGCACACAGTCTGTGTGTTTTGGGTGACCTGCTGATACGGGTGTATCTTCTCTTCGGAACTTAGTGATCCTCATGGAAGCTTGAGGATAGCTGATTCTCATGGTAGCTTGAGAATAAAGATGTAAAACAACACAGTGGAACGCAGGTTGAAACGTGGAACGAGACGACGAATCGAAGAATCGAAGCATCCAGTTTTCAGCCCATGAGTCGACTCATAACAGTCATGAGTCAACTCATCAGGTTGAGTCGACTCATGCATGTCATGAGTCGACTCACGAAACCCAATCGTTGTCACCAGTCTCTAACGAGTCGACTCATCTCAGTCATGAGTCGACTCATTGCTGGTTTTGTGTTTTGTCCAGTTTCGGACGAGTCGACTCACCTCAGTCGTGAGTCGACTCATCGAAGAATTCCTGGTTCGTTTAGGTTTCTCTTTGCACGAATTCCTGTTGGGTTTGGATTTGGTTATTTACCACTTTGTCATCCACATTGTTACACCTATATAAGGGATTGTTTAGGGTTTCTAATCAATCAGAGGTAATCAAAGTGAGATTGGGTTTCTAATCAATCAGAGGTAATCAAAGTGAGATTCTAATCAAGAGAGATTAGGGTTTAGAGAGAATTAAGAGCTTGTTGATTCTAATCAAGAGAGATTAGGGTTTAGAGAGAATTAAGAGCTTGTTCTCGATTCTAGTGAGATTGTGATAGAGGGATTGTAATCTTTTCATACTCATAATCTAGAAGGTATTTTCCTTCGCCACATACTGAATTATTCTTGTGTTTCTGCCATCCTCTTCTCAACCCACATTTGATAATTCCGCAATCAAATGTGCTCGCACGGCGACTCGTATCAAGTTAGTATCAGAACGATCAGAACGATCAGATCCGATAAAGGGGGTATCCTGTGTATGGTCCTGACTCGATCGTAATATAAGAAGCTAAACGAGATCCTTATTTCATTGGAAAAAATCCAGAAATTAAGAAAGAAGAAGATGACTTAAGGAGACAGTTTAGCAAGGCTAGATGCATTAAAGAAGCAGATGGAGACAATGGGTTCGACCCTCGTGCAACTAGTCAATCTTGTCCAAAACAAAGAAAACAAGGAGGAATCTTCTTCGAAAGGCAAGAAGAAACTTATGGAGTTCGATAGAGAAGACGAGGGATCTGATCCAGATGAGAATGTCTGTATTGTTAAATCTGTTTCACACCAAGGGGGTAAGGGTTCTTACCAGAATTTGAAGATAGACTTCAAAGTGAAGATTCCTGTTTATGACGAGAGTGTCAACGTCGAGAGGCTTGATGATTGGATCAAGCAAATAGAGACCTATTTCACATTCTACGGATATTCATCCAAGGAGAAGCTCGTGTTCGCGACTTTGAAGTTTTCGAGACATGCATTAACATGGTGAAAATCCTATTGCAAGCAGGAGAAGAAGACGATGTCGTGGAACAAGTTCAAGAAACTACTTAGAAAGCAATTCTATCCGGTAGGGTTCCTCGAAGAGCATTGGTACAAGTGGTACAGGTTGTGCCAACGGTTCAACCAGACCGTTCAAGAATACACCACGGAGTTCCAAGCGATGATCCTCAACATTACGACAGAGGAATATTCTGTGTTTATAAAGTATATGACGGAATTGAGCGATTACATCCGGAAGGAGATGAAGTTATTCACGGTCGAGACTATTACAGAGGCGAGCGTGAAGGCTATTGCCATTGAGGGAAAGCAGAAGAAAGACAACGAGACTAAGGGAGACTCCAAACAAACGGGGGACGAGTCTAGTGGTTCCAAATATAAGGAAGAGAAAAAGGATGATCCAGGAAAAACAAAACTGATTTGTAGTCACTGCGAGAAGACAGGGCATGTTGTTGATCGGTGCTGGGAAAAGTATCCTCATCTCAAATCAAGAGGATTGAAGAAGGAGAAAAAAACATATGTGATAGCTTAAGATCCAAAAGAAGTCCCGGAGATGACAGAACCCAACAGTCTCAACCTTATGGCGGGGAAACAGACCACGAAAGAGGACGAAGACTCCCGAGAGCAGCTTTTTGTGCTGAAGTTACAAGTGAAGACCAGTTTTGTTGATGTCATAGTTAATCCGGGCAGCGAGAAGAATTTGATATCCGAGGCCTTGGTTCAGAAGCTGAGTCTGAAAACGGTCAAGCATCCGAAACCTTATCCATTGGGGTAGATTCAGAATGAAGAGAGACTGAGTGTAGTTGATCAATGCACTGTCAGATTTACGCTTCATGAGTCGTATATTGACGAGGTCACGTGCGACGTAGTTTTATTGGATGTTTGTCAGGTTATACTGAGTAATCCGTACTTATGAGATAGATATACGATCTACAAAAAACGGGCTCAGAAGTATACATTCATCAAAGACGGTGAAAAGTTCATATTTCATTCGGCGTCTCTTCCGAGGGAGACAAGCTTAGGGACGACGACGCGAGCGAAGAGGCTAGTGAATACAAGCAAGAAGTTTGTCTCGTTATGCTTGTGCATTAGACTTCTAGAAAAACCATCGAAAGATGATTGCATGTTGGAGCAGAAGACGACTACGACAAGGCAAGGAGCGAAAGAGTCGTTTCCAGTTGTACGTCGCTATCAAGTTCCTAGCAAGGCCAGGTGGTACAGAAAAGATAGAGGAGCTCGTGAGTTTTCTCAGCTGAAGTTCTAACTTAAACACGACTTCAAATTCCTAAAGGGGAAACTCATGATACGGGTGTATTTTTTCTTCGAAACTTAATGATCCTCGTGGGAGCTTGAGGATAGCTGATTCTCATGATAGCTTGAGAATAGAGGTGTAAAACAGCACAGTGGAACGCAAGTGGAAGCGTGAAACGAGATGATAAATCAAAGAATCGAAGCATCCAGTTTTCAGCCCGTGAGTCGACACATAACAGTCATGAGTCAACTCATTAGGTTGAGTCGACTCATGCATGTCATGAGTCGACTCATGAAACTCAGCCGTTGTCACCAGTCTCTGACGAGTCGACTCATTGCTGGTTTTGTGTTTTGACCATTTTCGAACGAGTCGACTCATCGAAGGTTTCCTGGTTCGTTTGGGTTTCTCTTTGTACGAATTCCTGTTGGGTTTGGGCTTGGTTATTTATCACTTTGTCATTCACATTGTTACACCTATATAAGGGATTGTTTAGGGTTTCTAATCAATCAGAGGTAATCAAAGTGAGATTGGGTTTCTAATCAATCAGAGGTAATCAAAGTGAGATTCTAATCAAGAGAGATTAGGGTTTAGAGAGAATTGAGAGCTTTAATCAAGAGAGATTAGGGTTTAGAGAGAATTGAGAGCTTGTTCTCGATTCTAGTGAGATTGTGAGAGAAAAATTGTAATCTTTTCATACTCATAATCTAGAGGGTATTTTTCTTCATCACATACTGAATTATTCTTGTGTTTCTGTTATCCTCTTCTCAACCCACCTTTGATAATTCTGTGATCAAATGTGCTCGCACGGCGACTCGTATCACCTGTAACTTCATGGGATTTCAAATCCCGTAAAGTTACAGGCTCATTTGCCAGAGAGCACAAGCTCTCTGAAAATAGCACCTGCAACTTCACGGTATTTGAAATCCCGTAAAGTTTCAACTTCACAAGATTTCAAATTCCGTGAAGATATGGCTTTCTCATTATCAAGCTTAATTAGTCCTTAAGCTTCACGGGATTTTAAATCCCATAAAATTTTTGAACTTTATTTGACATTTTCGATCCAGTTTTAGCCAGGTGGCTGCAACTGGGTCGAAAATGGTAAATAAATTTCAAATATGTCGTTTTTGAAAATAAATTCCTAAAGAGGTCTATTATGAAAATTTGTCCTTTAATTTTTGAACATTTGTGCTCGTTTGAAGCGCACTAAAAACGGGTAGACTAAAACATGAGGATGAAAAGAAAGAGAGAAAATAAAAAATGCTTATTTTCGGCTATTTTACCTCGACAACTAGCAACCATTGTAGGCAAGGCCACAACAATCTTAAGAAATGGTTGCGACTGACACTGCTGGTAATACATAATGCTCTTCTTCTGAACCAACTCGATCCGCCTGATGAACCTCAGCACATTACTATTCCTGTTGGATTCCCTCATTCTACCCTGATAACCGCGATATAAATTGAGCATAAAATACATTACAAGCCACAAAAAGTAACCTTGGAATTTACAATATTGACCTCTAGAGTTTGCTGGAATCTTGATATAGCATCTGGTCCCATCTCTGCAGGACAGCTAAAATAGAAATAGGGCTCGAATCCATGAACATGGCAACAGACACTGTGCCCTAAATTTCCAAAATTCAACAATTCATCAACCCAATATCAAGAAAAATCAAATCTTTACTAGAAGAAACACCAGTAAACCATTGAACCTTCTTTAGTCACGCCAAAGATCCTGAGAATCGCGGCGGGACCCGAAGAATTTGGAAGCAACTCCTTGTTGCTATCACCAATAATGTAATCGATCTCCAGTTGCTGAAAAACTACAGAATCAAAGAAAAATTAGCGAGTTTGGATCGAAACAAGGGGAATTTGAAGATAGGTACCTATGTTTTGAGAGAATTGCTGAGGAGGGAGAGAAGGGCGCTTCCATTTGGAGAGCCGAGAAGCTACGGCTTCATCTCCAAGGAGAATCAAGGCCTCCTCGTCTTCTTCGTACTTGATTAGGGTTTCTTCTAAATACACGTCCTCGTCCATCATCTCGTCCTCGATGGTGTTAGGGCTTTGGCTGACGTTAACTGGCCGCCGGCGTTGCTTGCTGTAATGCGCTTTCGAGAGGGTTCGGCACGCCGCGGAACAGCGGCGGCGCAGCCGCGCGAATTGGCTGTTGTTTCCGCTCATGGCGATCGACTGAGGAGAGAGAACCAGAGAGAGGAGAGAGGATGAGAGAGGGGGAAAAGGAGGGAATTTTCCCGCCACTGGAGGGTGGGGTACGGATTTTATAGAGAGAAGGGATTTGGGTTTGGGCTTTGGTTTTGATCGAGATTGATGAACAAAGGTAGCGGGTTTAGGGTTAAGGCCGTCCGAGTTAAACCGGTCCAAGTTCGGTTTTAAGCATATTTGTCCTTTTTATGTCAATGTAATTCGTACTTATATTTCAATGTATTTGAGAAATTGGTAGTTTTCCTAACAAGAATCTGATGTGTGTTATATAAATATATGACATTTGTCGTATTAAAAATTAGTTGTGTGTCCTTCCATCCTATAATACATGAAAATCTAAGATTATCTTCTCCTAATTAAGAATTCTCATCTAATAAAACGTGTTCATAATTTGAAAATTCTAATAAACAAATAATTGATAATCTTAATCAAACTGCAACTATCTATAATTATAAATAATACCTCATAATCATATCTCCTATCAGAAATTGCTATGTTAACACCTAATCATATATTTACCTAAAATTTTCATCAAATAAAAAATTTCTCATAATCAAAACCTTTCTTTCTAATCCTCTTTACCTAAGGATTCTTATCAAATTAAATTTATCCATAATTTGAAAACCTTATTGTTGATGTACTAGTGATCACACAGTCAGTTAGATTCGTGTTTGGATGAATTTGTTGAGAATTGATGAGGGGTCGCTTTCTTTTTCGACTTTATGTCTGGTTCTTTAAACAGGGTAGATGAATCTGCACAAGCAGAAGTTCGTAAGAGGATGGGGTTGGATTCTCCCGTTGTACCTCCGATGATCAATTTAGCTGATGAACTTGAGTGTGGTGAATAAGAACTATGAGAGTTCTTGTGGATATCAATATCTCGATTCAAATCCATAATCTCAGCCTTCTGTAAGGTAGAATAGTACATGTATATATACCTAGGATGTAAGGGTAGATTGGTCACTTCAGCCGGGCATAGGATGGCGGTGGCGAAGTGTGGCCTGGCGGCTACGTCAGCACATGTTTTATAGGTGTCGGCTGGCGAATGGGGGATGGATCACTTCGGCATTAAATGGGAAGTGACTATCGTCGTGGTGGTGCCCACATGGTCCGATGAGTCATGAATGCTATCGAGGCTAGGGGCATTGATGCACCTGACAAACATTAAATGCGATCTTGGCACATTGTTAGCGAGGATAAGCTCGAGGCAGAAGATGTCATTTGCCTTCGGAAAGAAGTAACGCCTTTCGAGTCGGCTTCGTAAGGCGTCTGGCAAATGGTCGAGTGGACTCGTGGCGAGTCGTCTTCGACAAAAGGGAGGCGACAAGTTCCGCCTTTCGAGTCGACATGAAGGAATGTCGAGTCAGCGAGTCGGCAAAATGGTCGTCCCCACTGATCTCTGACTGCCAAGTTGATTGGGGCATAGCATGTAGCACACGTGTTTGTTGCTTGGCAGTGAGCTTGCACTTTTAGCGAATGGGAACACCATAACAATTGGCCTCTTTCGGTTGGAGTCGGCTTGAGTCGGGTCCGAGTGAAATCAAATTAGCTTTGAACGGACGCAAAAGCGTACTAGATGAGAAACTGAAAAGTCTCTTTGTCGAAGATGACCGAACATCTAAACTCCATGCCTTGGGTTTACCCGTGACGGCACCAAGGGTTTTTTTGGCAAAGTGACAACCCAGAGGTTGGGTGCTCAGGACTTACGTAGACGCCTGGGTTTTTGGCAAAAGGACAACCCCGAGGTTGGGTGCCCAGGTCTTATGTAGACGCATGGGTCTTTGGCAAAAGGACAACCCGGAGGTTGGGTGCCCAAGTCTTACGTAGACGCCTGGGTCTTTGGCAAAAGGACAACCCGGAGGTTGGGTGCCCAGCCTGGATCCTTAGCAAAAGGACAACCCGAAGGTTGGGTACTCAAGTCTTACATAGACGCCTAGGTCTTTAGCAAAAGGACAACCCAGAGGTTAGGTGCCCAGGGCCTGGGTCTTTGGAAAAAGGATAACCCGGAGGTTGGGTACCCAGGTCTTACGTAGACGCCTGAGTCTTTGGCAAAAGGACAACCCAGGGGTTGGGTGCCCAGGTATTATGTAGATGTCTGGGTCTTTGATATCCCCATGATGGTCGAGTGGTGATTGTGGGAGTCGACCATATGGTTAGTGCCTCGGGTTTATTCCTGCAAAGGCACCAATGGCTTAGAATTCAACTAAAGTCGAATGCCTAGAACTTACTGAAGTTAACTAGGTCTTTTACAACCCTAAGACTGTGCCTAGGACTTGCTGAAGTTGACTAGGTCTTTCACCCTAAGAAGGGCCACCGTGATGGCAATTAGGTAATATGACAACCCTGAAGTTGGGTGCCCGGGACTTACGTAGACGTCTGGGTCTTCAATATAGCCATGATGGTCGAGAAGCGACTGTGGGAGCTGACCATATGGTGAGTGCTTTGGGTTTATTCCTAAAAAGGCACTAAGAGCTTAGTGTTCCTACATAGATTGGGCACTATGGAAGTGCAAGATAACAATTGAGTCAGTTTCAATAAGAATTTTGTTGATATGAAATGAAATTTATAGAATTATTAAAAATGACGTCGCAGGAGCTCAATATTCTAGGGATGCTGGAGGACTCTTCCGTCTAGGGCCCTTAGTCGGTAGGTGTCGGCTCGCAGCTCCTTTAGGACTATGTAGAGGCCTTCCCAGTTGGGTGCTAGCTTACCTCTACGAGTGTCTTTATCAAATGCAGCCTTGCGGAGGACTAGGTCACCAGCATTGAATCTCCTTGGTCCTTGTCCCTCTTCAAGATTCGGCAATCATTGGTAAGATGGTCATGATCCTAGTGATAGTAGCAAAATTGCCTGGTGTCTCGGTTCTTTGGATTCGACCTCATCTGAGGAGAAGACTCCTTAAGGTGTCCCTCCTTTTGAACCATAGCGAGAGCATTGGTGAGAGAGGTGTCGAAGATTGTGAGAGCTGACTTCGGTGCCGAGTCCTTCTGTCAGTCCCTCTTGTTGGACCGTGGCCACTCTTGTCTTGCAGGGGGCTCTGGGTGACTCGGGTGTTGGTGCCACCATTGAAATTATCACTGGAGTCGACGAGGTGGATGGGATAGTTGGCATTGTTGAAGTTGCGGCTGCAAA